TCCCAAGTCTAATGTTCCACGTCTAACGTTCCCAAGTCTAACGTTCCCAAGTCTTGCGTTACCAAGTCTCCATCTTCCCACGTCTATTGTTCCCACGTCTATTGTTCCCACCTCCCAAGATATAGATGATGGATGGTTGTAGTTTTGTTGGCTGAGCTTTAAGGCTCGATTGAATTTAAGAGGACTGTTGGGCCTTGGTGGAGTCATGAGCTCTACTGAGGGACATTCTAGTGTCTCTTACTCCAGAAATGTTCTGGCTTCACTCTGGATTTCTTTCCACTCACATTCAGTCTGAACACATTCAGTCTGAACGTTAGCTCGCTGGGTCACTGAAGGCAACAAACAGAGAGAGTTTCATGCCATCAGAAAACAATGAGCTGGTGAATATTGTGTGTTTCACACGCCAGGACAGTTTCACAGTTAATGTTTCACCTGACTTCAGGAACCAGATTTCACTCTTACTGTAATCAGGTTAAGGCAAGAATACGAGCTGGACATGCACAGAAATATCATTAAAAGTCCAGATTTCATGCAGTCTCATCGCTCTCTGCTGCACAAAACTCTTTTCTGTCCTGGCTCTTTAACATGCAAATTATTGACCCTTTCCAAACAGGTGTTAAAGCAACGTCCACACATTTAAGTTTTATTGCTACTTCCTGTCAGTAACGGTTCCACCTCGTGGTTCACCATCACTGTTCCTCCTTCAGAGGAGTTTCTGTGACAAAGCAACCAACTGCAACGGAGACGATCTACTTCCTGTTTACACCACATGACCGGTGTAGGTGAACGGTCATGTGACGTGTGTTTTCAGGTGCGTTAGTGTGGACGGACATTGAGACACAGATCATTTTCTTTTTAAAACAAAGCGTATTTGTCATCGTCATAGAAACCTGGTTTATGACCCATCTGGTTTCTTTAATCCCTTTGACCTGATGTCAAGTTTCCACTTTAGATTAAGTTTAACAATTCAGTTTTCAAAGTTTGGAAAAATCTGATTTCTTCAGTGCATGTAAACGCAGCGATAAACACTGAGGGACGAACCACAACCTGCTGAACGTCTGCTTGTTGAAATATTTGGTTTCACTGGCATCAACATTTAGCGATAACATTAAATAGTAACTATGTCGAGTAAAATAAGTGTTTTCTCTGAGTCAGACAGCAGTTAGTCTGGAATAGAGTCGACACATGACGGCTGCCATCAGGCGGCGCCATTAGGAGAAGCAGAGGTGTTCTCCTCCGTCACAGCCTGAGCTCATTGGCCACTTTGGAGGCGATGTTTTTGAAGGCGATGGACATGCCAGAGATCCTTTTAAACCGCACGCCATTGAGTGAAAGGCGGGGGAGTTTGCACACCTCCATCTCCCACTGGACCAGACTGTCTTGCCGGGCGTCTCCGTGCACGCAGAACAGTAAGTAGCGCTCGCGCTGCTCGTAGTCACAGTTGTTGGCGTCCAAAACCCTGCGGATCTCCTTCATCATGTCCCCCGGCTCCATAGAGGACGTGGTCTTCATGCTCCAGGTGAACCGCAGGGAACGAGGCTTGGACTCCCGGATCTCCTCTTTAGGTTCGCCCGATAAACTCCTGGAGGAAGGAGAGCAGAGACAGAGCGTTGATGGAGACTAACCAACACAAGTAAATGTTTGATATATTTTTATAAAACTGCACATTACTCTATTTTATGATTTCTTATTCTTTTACTTTCGTGATTCCTTGAAGAGCTAAGCTGTCAATCAACCAGCTTTAGGCAGGACTTCCTGTCCAGGCTCACTAGTTACTTCCTGTACATGACTCCTGCTGAAGGTGTTTATTTGTCTTAAAATCTGAGTTTGTAAAAACCACGCCCATGCATATGATACTAGTGCACAGAGCAGTAGCTGTAATTGAAAAGGTATTTCTGCACCGCGTGCACAACTGTGGTTCCTGAACTCGCCCCTTCCCTATGAGCTCACAACTGCTCAACATCGCCCCCTGCAGTTACTGACCTGCGAACGAATTTGGAGGTGATCTTTCCGATGAGGGAGGCAGATGTGCCACGGCGAGGCACGGCAGCATGCTGCGACAGGCTGGGTGAGACCGGCGGGCCGTTGTAGGTGGCAGGTCGCCGGTCCCGAAGCTGAGCACCATGGAAGGTGGAGCGACTGGAGGAACCGCGGGGGAAGCTGCTGCGGTCCGGCGTGGTGCTACTGCTGCTGGTGACGCTGAAGGCGGAGGGCGAGGAGGGAGGCTGGTGGGGAGAGCTGGGGGGTGAGAGGAAAGGATGTCGTTATTAAAGAACAACAAGTTCACTGAAAGGTCTGCCTGCCGTGAGGAGACTCAAAGAACCTCTGATACTCTGCGTTGTCGTCGATGGGAGGCAGGCTGGACCTCATTGGGTGTCCCGATGCCGACATGGACTTGACATGACGGGGGCGCGTGGAGGAGATGGTTGCCCCTGGCGATGGGGAGGGGGATGCTGCTGCAAGAACCTCAGGAAGACTGAAACACACACAGCAGATTTATTGATATGGAAAATCTGCAAGCGATCAGGGACAAGTCAAAAGATTTCACCTCACCTGCTGTCCTTCCCGTTGGGAATTGCAGTGGAGTGGCGTTCAGTGATCGTTCGCTCATAAACATACGTGTTCCTCCGAGTAATGCTCTGAAACACACAGACACTAATCTCTTTAAACAGATTCTGCATGAGAATATTCAGAATCTGTTTCTGGTGCTTTGAGCGGGTTTAGTTTCCCGGGAGGTGGAACACTGACTGAAACACATCAGCAATCGTCTTTTATTTTATTTAGATTCATGCAGAGAGCTGATAATAGAGATGAACCAAAATTTGGGCTGGACCTAAGACACAGAGAATGAAATGAAGTTACTGCCCCCTACCTGTTCATCACTGCCACAACATGATGATGGATCTTTTTCTCAAGATTTATCAGTAGTGGAGCTAAAAATATAAAGTTCATCCTGAAGGTGATGCTAGAGGAAAAGGTTGAGGCGACTTAAGGGATGGGTCATCATTCATGTGGCACCACTATGTTCACAGAGTCAAGTTTTCGTTACCTCAAGGCCACCGTAGATTCTACTGAGCACCTGGAAATGTCTGGGGGGTATTTAGTTGGTTGCAGTATACAATTCCAACACTAGATGCCACTAAATTCTACACACTGATGCTTTAAGTAAGGATTAAATTGAAAACCGTGCTGTCAAGTGTTGTATTGAAACTCTTCCTAGTCCTGGTTAGTCTGAAGTATTTCACATCAGCCAACTGTTAATCTGAATTCAAAGAGTGTGTCTCTGGTTAAAATGCGGATCTGTATCCTCTCACCCCCGACTCTGTGGCTGACTTCCGGCGGTCTGGAGCTCCCATGGGTGAGGCAGGCTCATCCTTCCTGTCGCTCTCTACGCTGTTGGCGTGGGAACGCTTGGTGCAGGAGACAGGCGGAGGGATAGAGGGCGCCACTGAGACACAAAACAGAGTATACGAAAGACTGTGGATAAATATGTAAACGCACAGACGTGTCTCAGGTCGAACTGAGAGCGGAGCAAACAGAACTTGATTAACATAAACTCACCGTGGTCACTGAAACGTCGCTGCTTCTGATTGGCTGGTACATTGCGAGAGTGGGCGGGTGACTGACTCGAGCCGTTGAGGTCGCTGCAGGGTCGTGACCTTTGAGCCAGGTTACCACGGGACAAAGACTCGGTGCCTTCAAACTGGTGGAGAGAGTCACAAGAGGATTCTGGGCAGATGATCACAGCTCTCCTTCATCTTTTGAAGGCACTAGGCTAGCAGTTTACCCCTGGTTCCAGTCTTTCTGCTAAGCTAGGCTACACATGTCCATTGAATGTATGACAGCTGCCATGCTAACTCACCTCGACAGGTTTCCTCCCCAGCAGCAGATACGTTGCCGTCACCTCGTTGTATTTGGGGCCGTCCAGCGCCTTCATCACTTCCTCCTGAGGGAAACCCATCGTCCCCATCAGCTCTGATTGGTCAGAAAGGGGACAGTCCGCTCAGCAGTGGTCACAACGCTCACAGGCTACAGCTATGCTAACAAGTTTGAGTTAAATGCTAATGTTTCACATCAGCCACACGTGTGTGTGTGTGCGTGCTCTTGTACAGATATCTTGGTGAGGACCATTTTCAACCTACAACCTACGGAGTGAGGACATTTTGTCTGGTCCTCACTTTATGACTCACCTTTGGGGTTAGAATCAGGTGTAGGTTACATCAAGGGGCAAGGGGATGCCTTATGCCAATGAGTGTCCTCACTAAGATAGAAGTACAAACGTGCCTGTGTGTGTGTGTGTGTGTGTGCGTGTGTGTGTGTCTGACCGATGCGTTGGAGGTCGTTGAAGTCTTGCTCGGGCTCGGTGAACTGTTTCAGGTTTTCACTGTCGTAGCCGACATTCATCCATCGATCCTTCATGATTTGCTGCGGAGACAAATACAGGAAGAAGCTGTTTCATTCGTCGTTTTAACGATAAAGGTTCAAATTGATCTATTGGCAGAAAATATGAAATAATCCTGGTGATGTTTTCACTTGTGTGTTTCATCTAAATCGTACAAATTGTTGTTTTCTTTACCCTTAATATTAAGACATTAAATATTTACACACTTTAATTTAAATACTTTATATTTACATACTTTTTATTTATACCAGGAGCGGGTCCTCTCTACAGAGGCAGCCATGTTTTTTTTACAGAAGCTCAAACTGGACAAACTAAAGCTTTTGAATTTCTATGACAACTGAAGCTTCCACAGGTTCACAGGGTTTACGGTTGCAGGTCGCTTGTTCGATTCCCGTGTGTTACCTGTAAACTGCCTCGTTTCCCGGGGTTTAGAACCAGCAGCTTCTTCAGCAGGTTTTCACAATCAGTCGACATGTAGAAGGGAATCCGGTACTTTCCTCTGAGGACACGCTCCCGCAGCTCCTGCACACACACACACACACACACACACTTTCACATAAATATCTGAACTTTCTCCTTCTTACAGTTTCGATGCTTTTGTTTTGAAGCCTTTGAGGGGAATTATCAGTTTTATTATTTTTGAAAACATTGAGCTTCAGATTTCAACCAAAATGGACAAAAACACAGAGAAGATGACCCCTTGTTGTTTCGGTGAACATCAAACACAACAGATTTCA